ACAAACATGAACATGAGTCTGTGAGCAGATGTGCACGCATGAACACATCAACATTGAAACAGATCAGCAGCAACATGAAACAGATCAGCAGCAACATGATATGGTTTTTCACAGTGATTATTCTAGTTAGAGATTCATGAGTCTAACAGCCTCAGGGTAGAAGCTGTTCCTCAGTCTAGTGGTTCTACACTTAATGCTCCTTAACCTCCTTCCTGAGGGGAGTGGGGCAAAAAGTGTGTGTGCTGGGTGGGTGGGGTCCTTCATGATGCAGGTGGCCCTCTTCCTGCATCTGGAGGTGTAGACGTCTGTGATGGTGGGAAGACTGATTCCAACAGATTTCTGTGCAGCCTTCACCACTCTCTGCAAAGCTTTTCTTTCTGCAGCTGTGCAGCCTCCATGCCACACGTTGATGCTGGAGCACAGGATGCTCTCCACTGCACACCTGTAGAAGGAGGTGAGGACTGAGCTTCCCAGACCAGCTCGCCTCAGCCGTCTGAGGAAGTAGAGTCTCTGATGAGCTTTCTTGATCAGGCTGGTGGTGTTGTTGCTCCAGCTGAGGTTGTCATTCATGTGTACACCCAAGTACTTGTAGCTGGAGACCACTTCCACCGCAGATCCTCTTATGTTCAGGGGGGTGTAGGTGTTTTTGTTCCTTCTGAAGTCCACAATCATCTCCTTTGTCTTCTTCACATTGATGTGAAGGTTATTCTCTCTGCACCAGCTCTCCAGGTGTTCCACCTCTTGCCTGTAGCTGGACTCATCATTGTTTGTGATGCATCCCACCACCGCTGTATCATCTGCAAACTTTACAATGTGACAGCCTGGATGGGTAGCTGCACAATCATACGTGAGCAGAGTAAACAGGAGGGGGCTCAGCACACATCCCTGAGGAGAGCCAGTGCTGAGGGTTATGGTGGAGGAGGAGAGGTTGTGGATCCTCACTAACTGTGGTCTGTTTGTTAAAAAGTCTAGTACCCAGTTGCAAATGGAGGGGCTTAGTCCTAGTGTGGATAGTTTGTCCATCAGGGTTTGGGGGATCAGGGTGTTGAAGGTGGATGTGAAGTCCACAAAGAGCATACGGACGTAAGAGTTTTTCTGCTCCAGGTGGTTGAGCGCAGTGTGGACCACAGAGGAGATTGCATCCTCTGTTGATCGGTTCTCACGGTATGCATACTGATGAGGGTCCTCGTTGATGTTGATGGTTGTTTTGATGTGAGTCATGACCAGTTTTTCGAAGCATTTAGCGACTATCGGGGTGAGGGCCACTGGCCGATAGTCATTCAGACCAGTCACTGTAGAGCTTTTTGGGACTGGGATGATGGTGGCAGTTATTTTCATTTTAAGGTTTTAGATTAAATAAGTCAGACATTGTTTATGATTGATGTGTCGACTCTTTCAGTCCTGACTGCAGATCCGATCCAGTCCAACAACAAGCAGGTGATGATCATCGTTGGATCAGTGGCTGGCGCGGTGCTGCTGGTTGCTGCTGCTGCTGCTGCTGCTGCTGTTCTCATCAAACGCAGGAGAAGAACCAGAATCACAGAAGATCAGAAAACAACAGGTACAGTATTTGTTCAAATCTCGTTTTCAATGTTCAGCGTTTAGGGACTGAAAACAAACATGCAAAAGTCAAAGCATGCACAGAATAACAAGCACTGTGCCCGTGTCCTCGTCACTGAGCAATTTGAATATTAAATGTTTGTAGTTTTTGATACGAGTGTTTTTCTGGACTGGAACTTAACAGACAATGAAAGTAAACCTTAATGTTTTGTTGTTTTTGGTGCCACATATTAAAGAGGTGAGTTACACTGTATAAAAGTAGAGGTAGGATTTATTTGTTTATCCAAGGCGGCTCAGAGTGATGGACGGAGCAAGTTTATTCACCTCCAGGAGTCAGGAGGTCCCAGTGAGGGTCCTGACCACCTCCGTCATGTAAGGAACCTATGCAACGGTGGCCGTCAGGTTTAAATGAACAACATTTAAAAAAAAACAGAATTGCACTTATAAAAAGACAACAAAAACACAACGACATTTAAAAAAACAGAATTGCATTAAGCCAAAGCAGACGAGGCCGAAATCACATTTGAATTAACAAAATTAAATTTGAATAAAGAAAACTACATTGGAAAAAAAAATGTAATAAACATATTAAATAAATAACTTAATCAAGTAAAATAAAATAAAACACTAAAAACAAACCACTCCCGCTTTGGCTTAATGTAATTCCATTTTTTCAAATTTAATTATTATTAATAATTTTTCAAATGTGATTCCGGCCACTTCCGCTTTGGCCACTGTTTTGTTTTTTGATGTAGCGACCCATTGTCTGAAAGGACCTTTCTTACACCTGGGTGAAGCCACGCCCCCAAAATGGAAGTTTGTATCTCATCTTTATTTACCAAGTTATCTACTTCAGAAGATGGTAGATATTTTCAAATCTCTTCGCTCCATGAATGGGGACAAAAAGAAATGCTGCAGATAATAATGACAACACATTGGATTGGCTTGTAATCAGAAGGTAAACAGTTTCACAGTGGGAGCTTTTGCTTA